TTAATCATTTTCTTTAGTGTATCGATTCTAAATATTTCACTAAGATTCCGATAAAAAGGTGTTTAGCAGATTTACCGATGCCACGGAAGATAACTCTTGCATCGCAAAATTTCATGAAAACTATATATTTTGCCAGAAAACTACTATCAAAAGTGTTTTTCCCACCGATTTTATTTTTTAAACAAAAAGATGAAATATTTCTAGATTTAGTTAAGTGTGAATTATAGTCCTGTTAAAAATGTATTAGAAATTACAGTTCTTTGTTTCTGACCTACATTCAATGGTTTATATAGGGGAATTCAAAAACACAAAACACAAGGATATTTTACTAAATAAGCAATTTTCAAACAAATCTTCAATTACATTATTCCTTTTGGACTATATTGATATTGTTTTTAATAAAATATCAAATATTCCTCACATTCGATGTGCCGCCTATTAATGCAATACTGCCTGGTTTTTCGGTGGACTGCAGTTTTTGCAAAAACCTATGACATCATAAGAGGATGGAAATACCTTAATGAGGATTAATTTGAGATGGTTTGTGAAATCCGTAAGAGGGGTCTCCCCTCTAACTGAATCTTACTTGGGAAAAATGTATGATGGCTTTGTTTTAAAAAAGATGATATTGAGCGGAATATACCCTCAGATTTCTCGGTAAGTTGAAGTAATGTGAAGTATAACTTTTCCAAAGCACATTTCGGGTCCTCAATGATGCAACGAGTTTATTTACATGACAAAAAGTTATAAATAATTGTGTTATAGGACTGCGCCGAAGCGATTGAAGCGAAGCACTTTAAAAAGATAAAAATGACCGTAACGTGATCAACGAGGTCATGTGATATCGTAACAAATATGTTTATATATAGCCTAGGAAACTCTCTATATGAATTGGCTGTATTTAGGTATATAACTTAAAAATTTTAAAGCTATGGGAAGCCTTAACAGTATTGCGAAGTTATGCAGCAACATCCCCTTTTCACTTGTATACGGGGTTTATATCTCTCAGTTGATTTGATACGCAAGAGCATGCTCTTCGTATGAACACTTTCTAAAACGAGGTAAATTATTATCAAACAAGTTGATGAAACAAGAATATAAGCAGTCTCGTTTAAAGTCATTTTTCATATTTTCGATTGTCAATGCAATGACCTTGTCCGCAAATACAAGATTATTTATACTTATTATTAGGCCATTATTTACTCACTGAATTGACGACATATTTTCCATTATTACTCGATCATGACAGAGAACACACGGCGGGTGTAACCCGTCAGCAGGGGATGCTTACTCCTCCATGGAACCTGATCCCACCTCTGATCTTTTAGAGGTCTGTGTTTGCTGTGCCTCTATTTTGAATTTTTTTTTTGTTTAGACTTTTGAGCTTGAATACTCTCCATATATTTTATTCTTACTAATTTAAGGAGCGTGCCACCGTCTCTTCTTAAGGGGGGGGGGGGGGGGGGGGGGGCAGTTTAGATATAACATATTATAAGAAGGGCGATCTATAAATCTATCTAAAAATGGAACTTGTAAACGTACTTGTCATTGGTCATTAGCAAAATTATTTTGTTAAAAATCATTCTGATTGTACAAACAAGGACTCTGAAGTCAATGAAGTTGATATTAAAAAGACACCACAGAGTCTGACACACTGTTGATATTAAAAAGATACTACAGAGTCTGACACATCTGTTTCATATTTGGATATACTACAGCTGTACTTGTCAAAGACGTTAATGCTAACAACAAAGCTTTATGACAAACGACATGACTTTAAAGCAATATGAGCTGCAAGCTTGATATGGGAAAAATTTGTTGCAAATTTGTAATCAACTATTTCAACGACAGAAAAATAGAACATTTATAAGCTTGTTCACATTTTGATGGAAGAGCTTTTTATAAGCTTTAATTGAAGCAAAATTACATTATTGTCGTCCTGTACAATATTGTTTCCTTATATTATGCTATACATTCGATTGTAGAGAAATTTTTCTTCTGAAAAAATTAAAAATTTTATTTTGTTTTAATTGATCATAAAGGTTTAAATTACATACAAATTAATCATAATAACATATTTTAACAGCAAAATAAATTTCCCAAAAATGCAGCTCATATTGCTTTATCTTTTCAATCGTCAACTTCCCTTACTTATATACCTTCATCACCTGCATTCAGGGTTTATATCTCTTAAATATAGTTGATTGGATAAGCAAGAGCAATTTCTTTCCTATGAACAGTTTTTAAAACGAAGTAAACAAGTTGATGAAACAATATCAGCAGTCTCGTTTTCATGTTATTTCCCGATCATGACAAGGAGCACACGGCGAGGGAGACGGGTTGGCAATGGATAGAACGTTCCATCGTTAAAATGATATATTGTCTTCGGACCCGGTTTCTTGTAAAAAAAAAAATAACACGGAACTTGAACTCGGTGCATTTACATGTACTACGATCAAAGCAAGAGAATTCCGAATGTTAAACACGGCGTTTAAATTTGAAGCGAGAAAATACGTTAAGAAAGTAAGTTGGATTTTCGTCTTCATATGGATTTTTTTAGGATAAACGGCAATTTAAGGCATACACCATCTCAAAAAGGTTTGTATTGATTAATTTGATAGTTATTTTCAACGCAACACCTTTTGTATTTTTCAAAATCATTCGAAGCAACACCTTTTGAATTCTTCAAAATCGTTCGGAGCGGATACGCCCCGATTTGCTACATTGCAACTATATGGGACGTATTCTAACTCTGTTGAGGGCTTGTATCGAGACACAGATTATTCTAACTGTCAGCAGGCGATGCTCACTCCTTCATGGCACCTGATCTCACCTCTAATTTTTGGAGGTCCGTGTTTGCTCTGCTCCTATTTTGTATTGTTTAAAGGACTTTTGAGCTTGAATAATACTTTAATTGTTATCTTCATATATTTAATATAACTGTTAGAAAGTACAAGGTTTTTGCTTTTTTCTGCGGATGTGACGTATTTTTAATGAGGATGCTTTGATTCCTATATAGGCCCTCTCGACAAAGTGGAAAGGACTTATATACGAGTACCTATGACAGATCTACAACAAGAAAACATTGATGTAACCATCAATTGTCGCCCGGGAAATAAATAAAGTAAACAATGAAAATGAGTCTTGATCATCAAACCGCTTCGATATGTGTGAAAAGGCATGCGTCTAATTGATGGAGACGATAGTCGCGAATATTTTGAAAACATGTAGTCGGATAAAAATCAATCAAAACGATATCATTTTAAACTTGATCAATTCCTCAAGTAAATGTTGGCTGCATAACATATAAATTGAAGTTAGACACACGCATCACCTATATTTAAAAATGTATTAATTTTCAATTTCAGAATATAAAACACGGAACTCTGCATAGTACGTTTTTATCCGAGAAGTAAAATTCGATGTTCTAAAAAAAAGGGACCTGTCGTTTTTGTCCCCCGCTTGAAAAGTGGGGGATATTAATTTGGGTTTGTCCGTCCGTCCGTCCGTCTGTCCGTCCGTCCGTCTTTCTGTCTGTCTGTAACGCTTTCGTTTCCACACGATATCTCGAGAACCCTTTGAGCTTTTGCAATGAAATTTAGCATAGCAACTCCCTATCGACTAAAGAAGACCCCTATTGATTTTGAGGTCAAAAGGTTAAAGGTCAAGGTCATAAATAAGCAAATTCTGTCTGTTAAAACACTTTCGTTTCCACACGATATCTCTAGAACCATTTGAGCTATTGCAATGAAATTGTGGCCTAATGAAGACCCCTATTGATTTTGAGGTCAAAAGGTCAAAGTTCAAGGTCGTAAATTTATACATTCTGTCTGTGCGTAACACTATCATTTCCGGGCGATATTTCAAGAAGATTTTGAGCTTATGCAATGTAATTTTATACCAAAACTCCCTAGGGCGTCTCTCGCCCCTCTCAAAGTGCCCCGCCCCGTTTGTTTTATTAGTATTTATAGTATTACATGTCGCTGTTTTTAGCGCAGGGGCATGAGGAGAGTTATTGCGTATAAAACAGGTTCTCGGCGGACTTTATGTTCTTATTACATCTATTAGAACTGTTTAATAAAGGCTAAATAAATCAAACACCATGGATTGTGTAAAATTTTGAGAATACCGAACATGAAAACATGAATATATACATGTATGTGACTTCACTTCTGCATATACTTCACACCGCGTATAGCGATTCCGTGGTCTAGTGGTTATGTCTCTCGCTTCAAATGTGAGAGGTCCCGGGATCGATTCACGATCGATCTTTTCTTTCTTTTTCTTTTTTTTAAATACTATTTTTTTTTACTAAATGATAGTATTCAGCATGTGAAATGAAAAATTTATGAGTTTATAAAATCATCATTACAGTGTGATAAATATTCCATATAAAAAAAATCTTCTGTACACATAATAAAGAATAAGCAATCAAATCTTTATATGCATATTGACATACATGTATTTTATTTGCTTCAGTATACATGTATACATTTAATAACTCTACAAATTCAGTCAGGGGGAGCCGACTTTTTCCCTAAGCGGGGGACACGAATTCTCTGAATTAGCTTGTTTCGATAGTAAATGATAAGCAACTTTATATATTATATATGAAAAATGTATATATTTTTACAGATTCACTTTATGGAAATAGATATATTATGTATTTCGTAATTTATAAACGGAAAGAACATTCTGATTAACAATATTTTCAATGTTTAGAAAACCTTTGATTCTAAATAACTACTCCCACCCCAATCCCCATACACCAACACTTAAACTTATATGTATAGAGCAGCCCGGTCCTCCGGGCTGCAATAATAACATTTTGAGAGAATCTGGTATACTGTGAAATCACTAATTTTCATGGGGTTTAATTTTTGTTGTTTTCGAGATATGGAGGTACTAACGTTATTTATTTTCGGCGTCATTGGTTTAATTACCATATACCATTATCTAGATGTCTAACTCCCGGGAAGAAATGGAATATTAATACCTACCGTGCACTTTGTCTTGAGTCAGCTGGTTTAACTGCAAAATATTAATAATTCAATTATTTTTATAAAAAAAAAAGAAAAGAAAAACTGTAGACATTTCACGTATTGAACTGCCATTCAGTTATGGGATTTAAAAACAAGAGGCCCATGGGCCACATCGCTCACCTGAGAAGCTTTGACCATTCTGTTCTTTACCAGATTTCCTCCTTGTAATACAAAAAAAAGAAAAGAAAAACTGTAGACATTTCACGTATTGAACTGCCATTCAGTTATGGGATTTAAAAACAAGAGGCCCATGGGCCACATCGCTCACCTGAGAAGCTTTGACCATTCTGTTCTTTACCAGATTTCCTCCTTGTAATACATAATGCATCCAACCCTACCCCACTGATCATAATTTAGACATTTTGAAATCTACACTACCCCAGGATCCTTCCATGTGCACACAAGTTTCAGCTTTTCTGGCCCAGTGGTTCTTGAGAAGAAGATTTTCAAAGATTTTTCCTATATATTTCTATGTAAAACTTTGATTCCCCATTGTGGCCCCGCCCTTCCCCGGGGGGGGGGTCATGATTTGAACAATTTAGAATCTACACTACCCAAGGATGCTTCCACATAAGTTTCAGCTTTTCTGGCCCAGTGGTTCTTGAGAAGAAGATTTTCAAAGATTTTTCCTATATATTTCTATGTAAAACTTTGATTCCCCATTGTAGCCCCACCCTTCCCCCAGGGGTCATGATTTGAACAATTTAGAATCTACACTACCCCAGAATGCTTCCACATAAGTTTCAGCTTTTCTTGCCCAGTGGTTCTTGAGAAGAAGATTTTCAAAGATTTTTCCTATATATTTTCATGTAAAACTTTGATTCCCCACTGTGGCCCCGCCCTTCCCCCAGGGGTCATGATTTGAACAATTTAGAATCTACTCTATCCCAGGATGCTTCCACATAAGTTTCAGCTTTTCTGGCCTAGTGGTTCTTGAGAAGATTTTTTAATGACCCCACCCTATTTTTGTCTTTTCTTGATTATCTCCCCTTGTGAGGGGACTTGGCCCTTTATTTTAACAATTTAAATTCCCCTTAACCGAAGGATGCTTTGTACCAAGTTTGGTCAAAATTGGCCTAGTGGTTCTTGAGAAGAAGTCGAAAATGTGAAAAGTTTACAGACGGACAGACAGACGGACAGACAGACAGACGGACGGACAGACGGACAAAATGTGATCAGAAAAGCTCACTTGAGCCTTCGGCTCAGGTGAGCTAAAAACAAACTTATTTTGGTATCGATATAATACAAGAGGCCCACGGGCCTTAAAGGTCACCTGAGTATCATGTAACAACTTTCCAACCATTGAATTTGGTTCGTGTTTTGAGCAACAAGAGGCCCACGGGCCTTATAGGTCACCTGAGTATCATGTAACAACTTTCCAACAATTGAATTTGGTTCGTGTTTTAAAGCAGAGGCCATGAAATTCACAATTTTCAAAGAGGCACCATTGCTTATCATAAATATAAACTTAGCATGCTTACTATATTTACTTAATACCCAGAGGTAGATCAGAGTAACAAAGAGAAAATGCACTTCCACTTTAAAACCAGTTGTGCACCCAACCCCAAAGGAACAACTGACCCTGGAGCCACATATTTCAAAATTCTGGAAATTTTATCATAATTTTATTTCATCAAAAATGGTTGATTAAAACCAAAGAGCAGATTCTAAAGCATTAAATTATTTTCAGACTATGTGACCACCCTCCCCCTCCGATACCCCTGACCCATGAGGCATGAAATTATCCATTTTGCTAGAAGCACCTTTCTTCATCATAAATTTATATACATGCATCAAATGCATAATGCCCAGGATGTATTTTCACTATATAATCAAAAGAGCCCCCCCCCCCCATTACACCAAATGGCAAAGCCCCTGACACAGGGCCTTAAAATTCAGAAATTTTGTTGAGGCATTATAACTTTATATTAAGTTAGTTTATTTAATACCCAGAGCAGAGAAGATTTTGAGTGAATTAATGCATTTTCACTATGTAATCAATAGAGCCCCGCCCTAAACCAGAACCCCTGACCCTGGGGCCTTAATATTCATAATTTTGGAAGAGGCACTCTTGTTCATCATAACTACGTACTTAGTTAATTTATTTAATACCCAGGAGCAGAATTAATGCATTTTCACAATATATTCAATAGAGCACCCTAACACCAAAACCCCTGACCCTGGGGTCCCTAGCATTCCTGAATTATCTGCTTTTAATTTGCTGATGTACACTTTCCAATCATTTTCCTCGGAAAGATGGATAACTCTGTAAGAATTCTGCATTTTTTAAACATTCATAAAAAGCTCAATTTTCACCCGATTTGAGAAATGATTGCTGATATGGAATCAGTGCAGTGGGTCATACTTTACACAATGGACATAAAAAACTGACAATTTTTTGACTCCTTAAAAATTATTGGGCATTGCTAGTTTTGGTCTGATTTCAATATAACTTGACACACAAATAGACTACACTACGATACATAATTCTGTGTACGGGTTTTTAATTTCGATGAACGGTGTTGCCGTGGTTACAAAAAATTAAAATTTCTGTGGAATACTTTTCAAATGCTACTCCTCATACAGTTTTGGTCTGATTTCAATATAACTTGGCACACAAATATACTACACTAAGATACATAATGCTGTTTATGGGTTTTTGGTTTCGATGAACGATGTTGTCGTGGTTACTAAAAATAGGAATTTCTGCGGAATACTTTTAAAATGCTTCTCCTCTATATACAGTTTTGGTCCGACTTCAAAATGAAAGAAAAAGTGAGCAAGCTCACATACCCCACGCTCCCCCAAAACTCGAAGTGCTGAAATTGCTGGGAAAAATAAAGGAATCGGAATTTCCTGGGAATATGTACATCTACACACTGTGTCCTAAATGTCTGCCAAGTTTGACGAAATTCTGTGCTGTGGTTTATGAGAAGTTGCGCTGACAATCTGTTCATTTCTATATTCAAGGTATGGCCAAAAATCTAAGTTGAAAAGTACCGAAATTCCCGGAAAAATAATGGAATTGGAATTTCTTAGTTATATGCACATATACACACTGTGTACTAAATCTGAGCAAATTCTGTGCGGTGGTTTAAGAAGAGTCTGCTGACAATCTGTTCATCTCTATATTCAAGGTATGGCAAAAAATCTCTGTTGAAAAGTGCGGAAATTTCCAGGGAAAAAAAGAAATTAAAATTTCCTAGCAATATGCACATCTACACACTGTGTCTTAAATAACAGCAAAGTTTGATGAAATTCTGTGCAGCGGTTTATGAGGAGTTGCGCTGACAAACTGACTAATTACTCTAGACTATTTATAAATATTGCTTTTTGAAAGTTTTATGTCCCAACTACTACTTTTCTCTTCCTTTATTGCAAGTACAAAGCAGAAGAGCTACAGTCTCGACAGAGACTTCTGGTTGATTTTATATTATAGTAATTGGAAAAAGTAAAAAAATTTCTAAGTTAAGCCAATTATTCAATAAAAATATGCTACTGAAAGATAACGGAAAGGCCGCTGAATTGTATCTGCCATTCAGTCGACTGAATGGTAACTGAAAGATCAAGGAAAACCTATAGGATGGATCTTTTAAGTGACCAATCAGTGGGCATTTAGTTACCAATCTGTCGACTGAATGGTGTAATTTAATGCTGTGGGCCCTCTCATAGCCTTGTGTACGTATAATCTTGCAAATTAAGCTGAAGTGTTCATTATGTATGAGTAAAAATAAATATATCTTTTATTTAATTTTCGAAGAATTTGTTTACAAAACAATGATTTTTAACAAGATTTATTGCAACTTTTACACGGATCTACAACTTCATAATTGCTTGTTTTCCTGTAGACACACAGAGTACATGTAAATGAAAATGATACCAAACAACTTTAATTTTGGCTACCATAATTATTAGTTGGCCGAAATTTGTAAATCAATGCAAAAGTAAACATTATAAAGTAGATTAACTGAACTAAAAAGGCGTGGAACATTGTAATTAATCCTATCGTTGCGCACGAAATTACATCGTCTGACTCCAGTTTTTCTAATGTACGAAAGCATGTCAATAAATTTCCGCATTTCACATTTTTGGCAGTTATTGATTTTTTTGATGCTTTTGCAATATAATACTCATAGTGTGTATGAGCACGTTAGTCACATATGTTTCTGAGAATGTATTATTCTGCCTGCTGATTTCTAAAGAGAGATGAGAATATGTTTTGTACATTTTAATTATAAACTGCAAATGCATTAATTGTTACACTATTACCTTTGTCATCAGAAAAAAAATTAATGCAATATATTTTCTGTACTTAATTTAATCGATAAGCATTGATTTGACAGCTTTAAAAAAATGACTTAGTTTCCTCAAGCTTACCTTTACAGTCTGAGCATATTGTTATTAAAAAATCCCTGCCCATTGTGTCGTTTTCAATAATTAATTAAGAGAATTATTATCTATCTAGCTTAATTATATTCGAATTTAGGTATGCATGAATTTCGTTATCATTTCAAGTTTTCACTGATAAGCAGATGGAAGCCATATTTGTAGAATTCTCCAAAGGAAAATCCTAATGATAGTGTTAAATTTGATAAAATAAATTCGTACAAAGAAATTGATCTTGATTAATATTTCAGGGAAATATCAGTTTCGAAACCAAACTATGTATTCTTCATAGTGATACGTGTACAGTCACAGAATAATATACTTGTACATGTTTTGCATTTTGTCAAAGGAATAGGTTGCTCCAGACACAAAGTAATTTTTAGAGTTATTTTTACCAGAAATATTTTTTAACTCTTCCATATGTCAATTAGCAATACAAGACACGGTTAGACACCTGTAAGAAATGGATAATGCGTTTAGTGTGTAGAGTGACATTCTTACTTAGCTATAGAGCTGTAGTAGGTTGCATTGTTTGATTACGATTTTAAGACATATCGGGGAATTGCCCTACTAAACTTTTTTTATGAATTTTTATTTTTTTAGCTTCAATCAATGCAATTTTCCAAATATTACTAGTAATTGACATACTGCAAAATTACCTTTTTGTTGGTACATGTATTTTTGCAGATCGGCATTCTATTTCTGAAAGCCATTTTCTTTTTCATGAACTCCATTAATCATGTTAATTATTTGATCAGGTAAGGAATCACTACCAAGGTAACTGATACATTTTATGTTTGTAAATAAGTCCCAAGGTGAGGTGCAGAAAGAGAACTAGGGTATACTTTTTATGATGCCAAATATCTTTACATCTTTCATTGTAATCAAAAACAGATTTAGCCATCGTTAGCGTCAGCCCATATCCCCCACGAAAACTAAAGCGCATGAATTGTCTTGTTTCTGTGAATTTTATGCATCATGGAAACCACATGTTTTGTATTTGTCTCGGGGTTTTTCCCTCTTTACAGTTATACATGTAGATTATTACATACTCATCAGCACAATGCAAACTTATTGAGAACCTTTTAAAGTATTATTTAAAAGAAAAAAGTAAGTTTTTATTTTTGTTATGTTAAACGTAAGGTAGAATATCAGTTAATTATTTTGCAATCATCTATTTGAGTTCTATATCCGTCGTCTATAAATTCGTCTTTCGCTTGCAACGCAACATTACAATATTTTATCAAGCTTTCACGAGGTGAATCTTGATGATTAAATTTTATTAATTAATTTAACATTTTTGTTTCTTCTCAAGAACTTGTTCAATTTAAAGCAATCTTTTCACAAAACATCCTATGAGTACTTGAATTAAATTTAATTCCACCGGACAAGACGATATACTATACACAGAGTCTGACACATCTGTTTCATATTTTACTTGGAAAAAAATTAATGGTATCCTAACGATAAAGTTCTATGATAAACGCGCTGACATCAACTTTAAAATCTTCAAATTCCCTTATGCGGCATTGTACCCTAATCACCTGCAAAAAAGGGGTAATGTCTCTCAAATGATTCGATAAAAGTATTCTGTACTTATCAACACTTCTGAAACAAGACATAGATTTGAGAAACATGTTCATCAATAAATAATATAAAACAGCACTAGTTAAAGTAATCATTTTTCAAGTTCTATGGTCGATACAATGACGCTGTCAAGAAATACTTTGTAGATCTTAAGGCTATATTGCTGAATTCATTCTAATTGTTAAGCTGTTATTAACAAACTAAATTGTCTGCGGTAGTTTCCGTTTTTTCCTGACATTGACAAGGAGCGTACGGTGGTTGCGAGTCTGACCGTTTAACAGAGAAATGCTCACTCCTCGACGGCACCTGATCCCACCTCTGATGTTTTAGGTGTTTGCTCTGCGTCTGATTTGTATTGTTAGAATGAACTCATAAGCTTGAAAATTGTTCATTATCTCCATAGTTCATCACAAATATGATTTATGTTCGACATATGAAAATAAAATTAAATCTCTACAAAAAATGCAGAATTACCCTAACAGTCACATCAATATTCCTGCACTCCACTTCTGTGAAAATGCAAATCTGGTCAAGTCATTTCTTAATATCAGTGTTGTGTTTGGGACTACAATTGTGATCACAGTTTACCTCCTACATAAAAGAAATTCTTTTGAGAAAGGATTCTTCTCTGGTTTCTTACTAGTTGAAATATTCAAGGAATATTTACCTTTATGTCTCTAATAGGTCATATTTTTTTTTCCTCATTACAATAGTACAATTTTAGATAGAAATGGGAAACTGAGTTCTAAATCCAGAAGGGACGATGTATTTGGCAGAATGGCGGCGAATGAAAATTCTGCCTCTCTATATTACTCTAGAACAATGAATTTAGCTATAATTTTTCACCATGAAAGACTTGGGAGAAATTTTCAAATGCAAGTTAAATACACGTATTAATGAAAAGGGACTAAAGTTTTTAAATATAAAAAATAATTATAAATTTTCCCACACTGCAACTGTTTTAAAAACTTCCAATCCAAGTACAGATTTGGGCCAACAATACGTAAAAGTTTTTTAAATAAACGGTCAAATCATTCTGAGGTTTTTGCTATCATTTTTATATAACTACTTTACCATTTGTGAAAATAAGATAAAATGAAATACATGTATATGCAGCATATAAAAATAACTAATATATCCTAAATAGTAAGAATTTAAAAGAAATAGAATAAAAACGGATTAGCCAATGTCAATTCTAGTTAAATTATTTTTGTAAATTTGGTAATATTATCTTATAGACCCTATATTGTAACCTCTTTTTATGCAAAAAAGAAAACATTTAATCTATTGAAGTAGATGTAAGCATTGAACATTCGCAACAGTATTTTTTGTTCTTAGTGTCCAGGGAAAAGATCATGAACTGACCTGACCGTATCTCTAATATAAAACGGTCAAATTTAATTTGGGACCATCACTTAGTGATATTGTATTCTTGAATCTATAGAAGTTACATTAAATTTTTAAAAATACAGACAATATGAGAAGAAACCCTCCGAAGGGATACTTAACACAAACAAAACATCAATGCATGGATTGATATATATGTCTTGACTAATTTTGACATGAAAAATAAACCCCTGAAATATGAAGAAATCATAAGTTTTCTCTTTTGCTAAAATATGTAACGAATTGAAATATAAATATATGAAATCGTTACCGATTTCTGAAAAAAAAAGTGTGTTTTATTTGTCTGTATTCTCTAAATGGCTGTAATGCGACAATTGCAAAAATGATTGCCCTTAGGGCAAAGGATTTTGCTACATTCAAGTATTGTAGTTCTCAATTACAATGAAAGCTCAGACAAGGTTAAACCGTTTGATCCATGTACCTTTTATTTCATCATTATATCCTACTTATTTCTCATTTAAATATTTCGAAAACTAATTTCTAAATCGATTTTCCTAAATAATTATGATGAAATGTATGTAAATTTGTTTTCATTTACAAAAAGACGTATGATAACAGTAGTATTTCAAAACGAATCATCTTAATTTAGGAAGTTTTACCTTAGGGCAAGGGATTTTGCTACATTCAAGTACTGTAGTTCTCAATTACAATGTAACAGCTCAGACAAGGATAAACCGTTTGATCCATTTACCTTTTATTTCATCGTTATATCCTATTTATTATTAAATGACTGTAATGCGACAATTGCAAAAATGATTCATGGTAAAATTATTGTACTCCCTTCCCCAGTTCGGTCTCTATATGCATATATAAACTTGCATGGTTTACTATGTCTTTGTCTCAATTAATTTCCATTTAACGTTCTACAATAAAACCTAGTCTTGGCAATTGATATATAGTTTACGGCATCTTTCAATATTTATATGCAAGGCCTACCTTCGATGATTCCATCGGATTCTCTTTCGCAAAATCCGAATGCATTTTTCGTAAAACTTCTTCAACCGTGGACATATTGTCACAATACAGTATTAAATGAACGTCTTTTTGTTGTGCAGTGGTTGTTTACAAAAATTACATCCCCGAGCTTCACCTGCTAATTAATGAATACAATGCTGTACATTCACCCTTTACAAATCGTCATATATTGGCGCACATTGACGCTTTTCCTACTGCACGTTCCCTTTCACCCACTTGTATTTCCTGAGAGTTGAGAGAATGTGACATGTAATTGTCTCCTCTCCAGGACTTTCGAGTCCTAGGCTTATACACATCATATCTATATAGTAATAGCAAACAAATTTAAATTTTTAAAATTTTGTACATTGTAATCCGTTGTAAAAAAAAAATAATACTGCAATACAGTGAAAGTATTTTCATGTATATGTAAAAGTTTACTTTTATCAATGTCTGGGAGAACTATACTTTCAAATAACTCTTAGAAAAAATTTTATCACTCACTGAGGAAAATTTGAGCTCAAAATAACCTGACAATTTATTCACATAATAGAGAGAACGAGAAAGCCAATCACAACAATAAAAAAAATGTTCGACTTGTATGAAAAAAGAATGCCATAGGAACAGTCAACATCTTAGGCTTATTATGAACAGCTGTTTTCTCGCCTTAACGCTCTATTGCTCCCTCATGACAGAGAAGAGTACACCATTACTGAATTTGAAACATGAATATTATATTTTCACTATAGTCTAAAGCAATATTCTTGTTCAAAACGAATCCTACGCTAGTGCATCTTCCAAAAATTATATTAATTTTAAGTGATATTTACACAATAGTAAATTTCTTTCCTATACACACTATATAGTTGAACTTCAAAACACTCTTTTCGATGGCCGATAACAGCCGCCAAATCACAGCTAGCTAGTATATATATGTAAAATTCAACAATTTAGCACAAACATAATACACAAAAACTATGATAGTAAATGCACATGTACAAATTGTCCAATTTTCAAAGTACATAATGCACAGAAACTTAAGTTGCTTTTTGAGCAGGAAAATTGTCCAATTGACAATTTCTTACAGAAGACCTTCTGTTGCCCCACCCTGACACCGGGAGTCATGACTTGAACAAACATGATCTTTATATCTTTTGCAAATGTATATAATTATACATTGTTAAATCTTACTCATGTGACATTATATTACTTTTTTATGTCATATAAATATATCTGTTTATTATTACTATTCTATTATGAATATCATTATTATCATGTGACATTGTGTATATACGTGTATTATAATTCACTTTCTAAGTTGTTTATCTTTGCTAATTTAATGTAATGTAATTTAATATAATGTTGTTGTAATTAGAAGGCCCTGAGGAAGAATAGTGTGTCACACTAATCAGGCCACCTTCTCTAAATAAAGTATTATTATTATTATTATCATTATTATTATTATTATCTACACTACCTGAAGATGTTTTCATATTATTTTCATCTTTTCCGACGCAGTGGTTCTTGAGAAACTTTTTCAAATATGTCACCAAATTTTCTTAATTATCTCGCCTTGAAAGAGGACATGGCCCTTCATTTAAACAAACTTGAACCCGGTCACCTAAGAATGCCTTGTGGCAAGTTTGGTTGAAATTGGCCGAGTGTTTCTTGAGAAGAAGTTGAAAATGTGAAAAGTTTACAGACGGACAACAGACAAAATGTGATCAGAAAAGCTTATTTGAGCTTTCAGATCAGGTGTGCTGAATACTGTCAATAATTTAGCATTAAATTATACTAAAATAACGTATTAATTCATGAATACTTCTAAGCATGAATAGAAGTGTTTTCTTCATACAACTCGAATCTTTAAAAAGAATGTGTTGCACGCCTGACCACAGATCTTTGTGTCTTTATTTTCCCAAATAAAATCTGAAAATCATATAATGATAATAGTTTTTTTTATGAGAGAGCAAAATTTCAAAATATCACAAAAGGGTGTTGCACTCCTGAGAATTTTAGCATCAATTTTAGGCAAAACTATTTTGTTTATTGAGATATCAAAGCGATATATGGCGTGTGTTTCGACATGATCTAAATACATATGCTGAGGCATAGAAATCTATGTTCATTGCCCGTATTTTTAGTGTGGTTGATAAATAAACGTTTGGTCATTTTTTTTTATTATAATTCACCCTTATGCTAAATGCAGTTAGGGGAGATGTTAACTTACACTCCCAGTCACGTCTAGTCAAAAGGATTTATTTGTCTTCCATTCAATTTTATTTATATTATCTGGCAGTCAAACAGGACTCAAGGTTTTGATTGTAGGTTCTAGAAAACATCCAAGAAGTTCTGATTAACCTGATTTACTATTTCTGGATTTTTCGTTGCACTAGACAAAGTAATGTGAAAAATTATGAGGATAACGCACAGTATTTAAGCTCAAAAGTTCTAAGAACAATACAGATTTGGAGCAAAGCAATCACGGACCTCCAAAACACCAGAAGTGGGATCAGGTGCCATAGAGGATTGAGCATCCACTGCCGACCGGTCACACCTGCTTCCACTGCTTCTTGTCATAATCGGGGAATAACGCAAAAAACACCGACAAATCAGAGTGTAAATAGACTTAATTATAAATTATATTTGCTGCCATGGTCATTGTATCGACTATAGAACTTTAAAATAATGACTTTAAACGATACCCATATTCTTGTTTCATCAAATTGTTTACATGACTTATATGTAATGACCTCTTGTTAGGCTACCAGTGAACCGAAATTAGATAAACAAATATTAGATATCAGATAAAGAAATATTGATAAGATAAGCAAGTTTTTATGCTTTAAAAAACCTCTGTTTAAAATATGTGTGTTGGTGGGGGTTCTACAGGTACCATTCCTTTTTCGAGCATTTCGTCAATTTAAAGGAGCACATTCTCTTTGATCAAAGAGGGTATTTGTTGACCCTCACCCAGATGTATACTATGAAGTCATAGTCCCAACCCCAGAAGACTCAATGGAAGCAATTAAGGCCAGGATGGAGATGCTGGCAGCTACCCAGTCCTGCAGGAGACCTTCAAGAACGGTTCACGGTACTGATAAGTAGACAGTGCGCTTGCTTCGTGATCGGGAGGTCGTGACTAACCTACATGTTAGTCGATAAAAATGGGTAGCAAGAGTTCCTTCACTATGCGCTCTGCACTTTGAAGCGAACGTTGCGGGTCCTTCGGATGAGACCTTAAAAACCGAGGTCCCGTGTCACGGCAGGCGTTGGCACATTGAAGATTCCTCACTGCTCAATGGCTCTGAGTGCCAAGTAAAGGTCAAAATTTGAAGCCTTTCACCTGGCTGGTGACGTCTTAACATGACTGAAACATTCAAATAACACTTAAAACAACATATTATGAATCAAGATCTAGAACAGTCCATGAATGGGAGGAAGGATGGAAGCAAAGACAGGTTGCCCAGGGTCACGTAACACCATCAGTTCGGACATGTAGCCTTAACAATCCTTATGAGACGCACGGCCATCCTGGAGCCACCAGACTCCTTTAGCCCCAAGGATTTTTCTAATCACCACAAATGCTGCTCATGCTCTAAGACAGAGCATTGCTATGAAAGTGGGAATGGAAGAAACACTCATTTTTCACTTGTACAACGTTAGAGGGGTGCACACTGCAGACCCACAAGTTGGAGACGATAACCTTTGAAAGAACATCAATATCGCGCCTTCGCATCTCTCCTTGATCTCATGGAAGAATGAGTGGAAGAAGAACCTGATGAAAGAAACAAGAGGCCCAAGAGCCTTAACGGTAACCAGCGTACAGCAATTGAGAAGATTCATAAACTGATAAATTAAGCTTTGTTGCCAAAAGACAAGAAAAATAGCATGATTAGGATAAAAAATAGATGGTCTAGTATCTATCTCTCCGCCATTTCTCATTATCAGCATGAAACTATTAACATTTAAATATCTACTGCATTAATTAACCCACTGTTTACCTCTCATCTTGGCCTATATTGGCCTTTGAAACACATTGATTGATTCTATATTGTTTAACGTTCCTCTCGAGAAGTTTTCACTCATAAGAAGACACAACCACTTGCTGGTGGAGAGCTGCAAATTTTCTCCAAGTCTAAAAAGCAGTTTCTGTTAGTGTTTAGAGCTTCCTTAATGGACTTTGAGATTCAATACTGTTCGTTATCTCCATATCCTTCTTCGTGCCAGCACCTACTGCGACACGGGACCTCGGTTTATAAGGTCTTATTCGAAGGACCGGTCTCCACGTCCCACAGTGGGATTCTTATCCTGGGACGTAAAAATCGACTCCTTACTTACTCGAGAGCTCTAGCACTAAACTAGGTCAAGCTCTAACCACTGGGACTTAACGATCTCTCTGGAGAATGCATATTTTGTTGCGTATAATTCATCGTGGACGTTTGAGAGGATATAATTCTAAGTTGTGACACGATCGCAGTGTATTTCATATTAATTATATTTGTTTTAATAATGATAAATAAAAAAATTGGCATTGATTTTTAAAATATATAAAATAAATACATTCCTTATACTAGTAATTCATAATGGAATATTGGAATTAGATTTTTAAGTAAAATTATCCTTGGTCGGGAAGCTAGTCTACAAACCTCCTGTCGTCCTTTTTCCCTTTACACTGTAATTGTTATATTCACACAAAGTCGGTACTGGGTTTGTGTTATTCTCTTTAGAGAAGTGGACAGGCTTTCGCCTACATCCACTTTTCTTCGCAGGCCTTCATGTTGTTATTCTGGAAACGGTATAATTGTAGAACCGGAGACGGTCTACACTTTAAATTAACATTTAGTCTGAAGTATGGTAGGTCTGCCATCCACAGAATGTCTCGAACACAAAGCATGCTAGTGATCAGTATAATTACTTGGCCTGATTTTTTTCCGAGGTTCCACTTTAATCCGCTTGCGAAGTGTCCGATTTCTGGTTCCGAAAGGGAACACATACTAGTATATCGATTGACCATCTTTCCATTTTGTCCACCATAATATAATATGGATATTTCCTGACGTCAACAACCTACAGCAATACAGTGGTAATCATAATGTTTTTTTTTATCTGACATGACTAGTTCGGCGTCCTTGTTTACAAAATGTTGCCCAAGTTCAGGTTCCTAGACGAGATCTCTTTGGACACAC